TCTGCAGGTTTATGCAGGAAAAAGGCAGGTGGCCTCGGGGAAGGAAATGCCTTTCCGAAATTTTAAATGCTTTATGGTGGTGGAAAATCCTGGGGCCAGCAGTGCGTCCATGACGCCTGTTTTTAAAGGCAACCAGGTAGGGGCAGATCGAAGGATGTGGATCCTCTAAGGGGGACCCAAGGTGGGCTTGTGGACTTTACACAGCTGTGCCCCAGGCTGTTCCCCCTCAGAATCCGCCTAGGCACAAGGCCTTTCCCCCTAGCGGCTAGCGGGGGGCGGGGGGACAGGTGGTGTGCAGCCCCTGCTGCTGTGCAAATCCAGGCTCTTCTGCCCCACTGCAGGGCAAATCCCTTGCAGGGAATTAGGACGGGTGACTTCCGGGGGCTGCAGATTTCTGCTCAGGGTTGCAGTGCACGGCACCTCCAAGTCCTCAGTCCTGGGGAGCCCCTCTGGTCGTGCCCCCACTTTGAAGCATGGCTCTGCCCCTGCCTTAGGGCATTGCTCAGCCCTATTGTCTTCCCGAAGCAAGTCACAGGCAGGCAGGGCCTGCAAGGGAGTCCCAGGGAATGCAGGCAGCCAGCGGGATGGGATGATGGATGGGCCCTGCAAGCGGCCCGAAAATTCTCCGCAAGGTCAAAGTTGAGAGACCCTTGCTGACGCCAGTTAACCTTTGCCCCTGACCCTCTTCTCCCCACCCTTGTGGGCAAACGGGCGGCTCTGTGGGGGTGTCCAGCTGGGAATTTTCTCTTGGGCCTTTTGCCTGTCTTGCTCTGAATGCATGTGGATCCGCCTCCCCCCCCCACCTAGAAAAACTGCACTTAAAACCCTCGCAAAACAAGTGACTTCAAAAAGCAGTTAAAAGGGCTTTAAAACTAAGCAGCCAAGAAGCAAACGGGGCTGCAGATGGTGAACAAGGCAGGGAAAGGGCTCTTCTGCCGGATTAAGCTATCCCAGCCTTACATTGAGGCCCCCACCACGAGCCTCTTGCTATAAGTATGGCAGTTTTCCATTTTTTAAGTGGCAGGCAAACATGACCCTGAGCGTGTTTAGACTCCAAGGACTTCTTTCTGTCTCTCTGGGCAGGCATAGGATTGCGCCCTCATCTTGTTAATAGGGGAACATCCCCCAGTTTCTTCTGCCATTTAAGCCGAGGGGCAAAGCCCAGTCTTGCCAGTCGGGCAGAAATCAATATGAGCGAACATTTACTGAAACAGAATATTTTCCAGAGCAGAGATCATGTTATATATACAGAGTCCACCAAAAAAAATGTATACACACTTCAGGAAAAGAAAAACTTGTATAAATATGTTAATACTAAATTTATTGAGACTTGTTTAGATTAATGCAAGTTACCTTTGGCCTCTGCAATCACAAGAGGTGCTCAAAGTGGTGGCCATTAAGCCAAAGTGCTCAGAGTGTCCATTGAGATTGCTGCACATGTGTGCATTTTTTGGTGGACTCTGTATATAACATGATATATAACATGTATAACACACACACACGAATGAAGTACGCTAAGGACCCCCATGCAAATGACCCTTTTGAAACATTAAATTGGCATTCGTTTATTTAATATTTTGTTTGTTTCCTTCCTGCAAGGAATCCAACACAGCTTCCCTTATCCTCTTCCTTCTCTCCATTTGAGCCTCACAACAGCCCTGTGAGGTAGGTTAGGCTGAGAGTCAAGGGCTGCCCCAGCTCGCCCTAGTGAGCTCCATGGCTGAGTGGGGACTAGACCCCACGTGTCCTGAGTTCCAGTCCTGTGCTCTAACCACTACAGAACACCTCCTGTTGTGGAACAAACTGGGATAACAAGAAGACAGGAAGCACAAGTGCTGGGAGCAGGGTGAGGAGTGGATCATGTTTAAAATTACCCCAAAACTGTATGTCACGCAGGTGTTTTAGCATCCCACCAAACATGCAACAAAGACGGAGCAAGTGTAACTTTCCTGGGGAGGGAGATTACGAGTTGGGGAGCCATCATGAACGAGGCCATGTTCTTTAACTGAGGGGAAGGTCATACCTTTGCATTACAGATTCTACATGTGGGGTTGTTACCCTGTTCAGCTTTTCAGGCCCCATGGCCAAATAAAATTGGGGCGTCATCGCAGGGGGTTTGACCCCAGCACAAGGAGCTTCAGCACTGCCTCTCCTCACGCTGGGGGCCTGCTGCCCTCCCTTCAAGGCAGGAGGGAGGCTGGGAAAACCCCGCAGAGGGGCGCTTGGCAGCTTCCTCTCAAGGGCAGGCATTCTTATATATATTGATTATGAACAGTTTGGAGTGGGAGAAGTGGTTCCAGCGCTCCGTTTTGTTTCCTGCTGGTGAAATGGGGGTTGTACCTGCCCCGGACTGCCGACCGAGACAGGGTAGGCCGTGCTGTTTTGTCCTCTCTCCCCCTGCCGCCTCCGCTTCCCCCATGTGGCAAATTGCTTTGAAGGCCAATTTCACGGGGGCCTTCACACACGGCAGGGCTGCCCTTTCCCGGGGCTGGAAAGGCTCAAGCCCTTTGGAAACCGGCTGTGCTGCATCTGCGCTTGGTTCAGCTGCAAGCCATTTTGGGAGGACTCCCTGCACAGATGTCCTTCATGCGCAGAGCGCCCTGGCTTTCCAGGGGAAGCCTTCCGCCACCAAAGGGGCTCCTGTTGTGAGCAGGTTCTCCTGATGAGGCTGAACCCGTCTGCAGCCCCCACCCACCCCGTTCCATTCCTGCCCTCTGGGGCGACAGGCGCTCTGTTCTGCACAGCAGCCCTTCGGAGGTTCAGAAGGAGCTGTTGCCACTCTTCATTCAATCCTCTTCCCCAGCTTTGCCTGATAGGACTTGGCTCCCTTTCCCGCCTGGGCATCCTTCAGGTCTGTTGGACTACAACTGCCATCCTCCCCAGCCTTTCCTGGAGACTGAACCTGGGCCTTGTGGAGCCAGAGCTGCCGTGTGTGGCCCGCAGGCTGGGGCAGCGGTGGGGGTGTGAGTGTCCTAAATTCAAGGACTCCCACCCCTCGTGGCGTGTGGAGGAGCCTTGCCATTCCGGGTCACCTCCCCACTATTCCAGGCACCGTTGCTGCTCTGCATTTGGGATGCCTGCATGGCCCACGCAGAGGCCGTTGATTTATCCAAGAGCTTTGCATTCCACAAGGAGCTGCACTGAGGAGATCTGGCGTTCCGGGCCACTCGTGCCAGACCAGAGTAGGCAAGACGAGGCCATGGGCACTGATGCCCCCTGGGCACCTTCCCTGGCACATACCCAGGTGCTGTTCCCATCTCTCTGTTGGGGGAAAATAATGTTAACCAGCAGCCGGAACGGCTGTGAAACTGGCTTCTGTTCATGCAGAAAGCGATGGGTGCCAAGCGTCCGTCGTGTGTGTTGGAGCACAGTTTTGCGTTCCGTATTGCTTCTGCCTCGCTGTGCCCTTCTCTGGCGATACGCACCCTGGCTCCTCAAGTCTGCAGATCAGTCCGTGGCACGGAGGGGCTGCCAGTGTCTGTGCAGACTCACCTTCTGAGGAGACTCTGGTTGAGTAGGGCCTCCCACCATCAGCGATGCTTCTGGAGAGGATGCACAAGACAGTGCCTGCTTGGTGGCACTCCAGGTGTGGAGCCCCCCACCGGGAGTGGCTGCACTGGCCCGAACCCTGTGGGCCTTCCGTGAGTGGGTGAGCTGGTGTGTCTGTTGGCCTGGAGCCCTGCTTTTCTCTTTTTCTGTTGTCCCGTCAGTTGTGTTTCAGTGCATTGGTTTCCAGTTGTTTTAATGAAGTTTTGATTTCACATTTTGGTTTTCATTGCTATCAGCCACCATGTTTTCTGTTTCCTTGGTTGAAATGTAGGGTATCGATCAAAGGAGACTCTTGGTAACCATTAGCAACATACAGGTATGCGAGGGGGGCCACGCAGAGGTGGGTTGTGGAGGGCAGGATGTGTTCCAGTGGAGCCAAGCTCAGGGAACCAAGATTTAGGGTGGATGCCGGGAAGTGCTTCCTGATGGTTAGGATCCCAAGGGCATGGAATGGGCTTCCCTGGGCGATGGTGGAGGCCCCATTGGTGCGGGTGTTCAAGGACAGGCTGGTCATGCACATGGTGGGCATGTCATGAGAGCAGCTGGCTGACGCCAGGGGTCAGACTAGATGGCCCAGGAGACCCCTTCTGACTCGCTCTGTTTCTATGTAAGAGGACAGAGTAGAAAAACTTTAAATAAATAAATACTGCATCCAGAGAGTTCAAGGGAGAAAGTAGACAACAATTTAAAAATAAATGAAAATTCCTTGGCGGGTGCGTGCATTTGTGGGACTGGGGTTTGGGCAACCTCGCAGACTTGGATGGCAGGCATGCAAACCTCTTTTAGACTGAGGGCTGAATGTGAAGAAGTGTTTGGAGACCCGCCGTCCACTGGCGGGTGAGCCCTGGAGGCAAAAGGGGTGCAGCCAAAGGCTAGCCCTGAAAAGAGCTGCATAGGAGCCTGCCTGGATTGGACCCGGGCACCCTTCTGGGCCACACATGGAAATCCCGCAAACAGCACCGTCGCCGCCACGCATCCCAGCCGCTGATGCAGACGGGCCCGCTGCCTCCGAGCTTGGAGGGAATGTGTGGCTCTCCGAGCGAGTCGCCTCCAAGGGCTTTGTCCTTGGCAAGTTGGTCCAGTGCCATATTAAAGCTATCTGAGCGTTGGATTCCGCAGTATCTCCTGGTTGAGCCACACACTCAAGACTCTGGACTGAGCCTCTGGTCATTTTGGGACAGCCTCATCGAGACGAGGGCAGAGGGAGTCCCCTTCCCGCTTTCACTGCACCAGAGATAGTTTTGCACACCTTTATCACCCCTTTGGCCTCCTTTGGCCTTCGTGGTTACCACTTTTATCCCCTTCCTGCAGCTGCAGGAGAGGAATCCTGGTCTGGCGGAATGCGGGGAAGCTGTGCAGAAGCCGAGGGTCGGGAGCTGGGGGGAAGGCGTGGGCATGGCTGCTGGCCGAGGCTGCCTGCCCCACGCCCTGCCTCGCTCTCCTCCTGGCAGGTGATCCAGCAGGCGTTGCACCGGCAGCCCAACACGGCAGCCCAGTACCTGCAGCGGATGTACGCAGCCCAGCAGCAGCACCTGATGCTCCAGACGGCCGCCCTGCAGCAGCAGCACATGGGCAGCCCTCAGCTGCAGAACCTGGCCGCCGTCCAGCAGGTACCTCCGTGGGGCCCAGCGGGCGGGGGCTGACGTGCCGTGCGGCCAGCCTCGGGGTTGGGAGGGGGGCATGCGAAGTCGCACGCGGAAGAGCAAGCGTGTCCCAAAGCGGCAAAAGTAAAATCAGTCAGATAAATGCAGCGGCGCAACTATGCCAGTGACAACGAAGAAGCTCCCTTGCTGTGGCGCCAGAAGGAATGCAGGATCCGTGCCAGTTGTCCGGAGCTGGGATGCCACCACCGGGCAGGCCCCGTCTCTTTGCGAGGGTGGCGGAGGCTTAGCGCGCTGGGGTGGGGGCAGGATTCCACACTTGACCCCAAAGCCCCCTGGGTGCCTAAAGGCCGGTCTCTGACTCTCGGCCTGGCCACCTCACAGGGTTGCTGTGAGGACGGGTGGAGAGGCGGTGGAGGGTGTCCGAGGATGTGGCCGCAGGGTCCAGGCAGGAGGGACGAGGTGGGCTAGGAAGGCACCCAAGAAAACGTCCTTTCCCAGAGCTGGGGCGCAGGGAAGGGCGCTGAGGTCCACCCGCCTGGCCTTGAGTCTGGGGGTCCCGCTTTCATCTTGCTTCTGCCGTTCTCCCCAGGCGAGCTTGTCTGCAAACAGGCTGAGCAGCTCTTCCAGCAGCAATGGACCCACGCAGCCCACGCCGCAGCAGCCCACGGTAAGGCGCCCCCAGTGCACACGCCGCTGCCCCGGCACACCCTGTGCTCTGCAGGGCTCAGGTCTGGGGCTGTGTGGGGCTCTGCAGCCAGACGAGTAGTGGGGGTCCTTCCGGGTGGTGAGGGGGAGGCGTCTTGCAACAGGAGCAGGCCCGATGGTGCCGCCCATCTTCTGCGGGGAAGTTGGGGGCTCCTCTCACTGGTTCTCCTGCTGCCCTCCTTCCCTCCCCCGTCTTCCCCCACCGCCCCACAGATAAACCTGGCCACGTCCCCCGCGGCTGCCCAGCTCATCAACCGGGCGCAGAGCGTGAACTCGGCCGCCGCTGCCTCAGGCATCGCTCAGCAAGCGGTTCTCCTGGGCAACGCAAACAACCCTACTCTGACCGCCAGCCAGGCCCAGATGTACCTGCGCGCGCAGATGGTAAGTCGCCCTGCCCAGCCCGATCGCCTGTGCTGCCTCGCGAGTCGTGCAGCCCGGCTGCTGCAGCCCCATTCGGGCCCGCAGGGGACCCGTCCGTGCAGCATCCAGTTGGCATGACTGCCTGGAACGTATCCGCGGGGCTCGGCCGCTTGTACTGTCTGCCTGGGGCAGGGCGTGCTGTTGGCGCTGAAACGACTTTGCCCGATAGGTCTCCTCCAGGCTTTTCTTCCAAACCACGATCTGTAAGCCCGGGGGATTGTGCGACTGTTTTGATGTGATAGTGAGGAGATAACGTGGCACGGTTCCCAGCATTGTGCTCAGTCTTCAAGAGGTGGGGGTCACCCAATTATGTCTGAGCCTGTTTAAAATGCCCGCGTGCAGCTAAAGCACAGTACGGATGGAGAGCCCCACTTGAAGGAGGATGCCAGACCTTCAGTGCCGCTTCTTCAGGTGACCTTTTCGTTCCTCTTTGATGGCCACGCCTGGCCTCATGCCTGGGTACCTTTGCAAAGAGACGGTCTTTCCCCGTGAGACCCCTCTTCCTGCGCTTCCTCTTCACCCAGATGCTGCTGTTTCCATGCTCCTCCTCGGCTTTTCTGTGCAAAACGGCACCTTTGCAAGTCTGAGAGCTTGATTGCACACACGAGGCAGCTGCGAACGAATTGCTCCTGTGTAAAATTGGCTCCAAGGTGGAGGAAGGGGCGTGCATGTGTGCGTGCGTGTGCGTGCGCAGAATGCACCCTTGAGTTCTTTCTTCCTCCACCCCACCAAACCCTGGAATGTGGTCCCTACCTGAATTTGGCCTTTGAGCTGAAACGGGTCAGAACCCTGGTAAACAACAACAGGTGGGGGGCCGGGGGGGTCTCTTCATCTGTCTGTGTCCACGGATGCGCACATGCTCTGATTTATTGTTGCTCAGGGTAGCTCTTATCTCCTTCCCGTCACATCAAAATGATTTATTTATTGGACTCGCACCTCCGTTCTGCCCTGCAACGCCCCCGGCACAGAGCAGATCGCTTTCAGACCGGTCTTCCCCAGCCTGGCGCCACACTGGCTGGGGAAGATGGGAGTTGAAATCCAACACTTTTGGAAGGCAGCAGATTGGTGGAGGCCGCTCTCGATGGAAGATTGCTCCGCTGCCACCAAAACCTGCCTGGCGGGAGCGCTTTGTGCCACCGCGTCCGGGGGCTACACAGCCTGGGCACACCCTGGGCAGACTCTGTTCATGTGGCGTGCCCGTGGCTTCCCTCTTGCCCCCTTTTTGCCCTGACCGGTGTAGGTCTAGATCCTGGCTCCCCCCCCCGCCCCCGCCAGCCCTTTTTCTGCCAGGAGAGCCACGGGTGATGTATAAGGGGACCCCTTTCCTGTGATTTCCAGACTCAGCAGAGCACTCTTATGCAAGTAGCTAGAAGCCTAGGCCGTGCTGTTCCTTTGTCCCCCCAGCTCATCTTCACGCCCACGGCCACAGTCGCAGCGGTGCAGGCTGAGGGCGCCCCCACCACCACCACCCCGCCATCCACCAACTCGGCTCAGGTAAGAGCTGGCGGGGAATGGGGGCTTGGAGGGGCGGGCAGGCGGGCTCACATTTGGGTTCCTCTCCACTCCGTACAAAGCCTGTGCACATCACCTTTTAGAAACAGATTTTCTCTAGAAATATTTCTTACGCGTCTATTTGTGCCAGTTTTAATTCGTGAACTGATTTAAAGCTTCTCTAATCCAGTGATGTCTTACTTTAACGAAGTTTGCAAGTCGCTCCTCCAAGGAAGCCAAGTCAACATTCGTAGAGGTCATCCTTTAAAACAGAAGCCGGAGCAAGCATAATTAATCTTGGCTCCCCTTGGAGGAGCACTGGCACCCACTGCTTCTTTGCGCAGTCTGACATTCGGAAAAGAGGCCGGCCAAGATGCAGAGAGGCGGCTGTTCCCAGAGAGTTCTCCCTGCAAGCATGCGTGGAAAATCTCCCCAGGGAGAAGAATCTTCCATGCATGCCGGAAGTCATCAGAGAAGGGCACAAGGATGGGGGGAGCAGCCCCCAAGAGAGCCCTTAGGAAGGGCACAGCAGAGGGCCATGGATGCAGGAGGGGGCCTTCTTAGGGTGGGGGGGACCAGCCCGGGGGGCGGAGGGGTTTTCTCAGGCACACCCCTCAGTGCTTCTCCTCTCCCATCCCGTGTTGCAGGTACAGAACTCCGCTCTCCGCACCCAGCAAGCGGCGCCCCAGGGGCTGAGCACGGGCCCGGGCCAGCAGCTCCCCACCTTGGCCATGAAGCCTGCCCCGAGCGGCAGCAACCATTCCTCCTCCTCGTCTTCCTCCTCGTCCTCCTCCTCGCCAGCTTCTCAGGGCAAGGCTGCCGGGCCGGCTCCTGGCGCCAAGGCAGTCGCGGCCGAGCACCCACCGGAGCACCTTCGGAAGGGAGATGGGGGCAGCGGAGGGGCCAGCAGCGGAGGGGGGGCCGCCAGCAGTTCCGATGGGCGGGGCGGTGGTCCCAGCCGGACGGGGACGCCCGTCACGACGCACCCGCTGATCGCCCCAGGTGAGCACCCGTCCCGCTGCAGGGGGCCGTGAGCCGCTGGTGCTCTGGACGTGGGAACAGGGTGGCGGTCCTGCCAGGATACCGTGGGACCCGGCACGGCTGCTGAGGGAACAGGTGTAGCCCACGCGGGGCTTGTTCCCGCTCGGGTGCCCGGAACCTCCCTGCACAATGAGAGGCCTCCCGTCTAGGTGCTGTGGCGCCCGGGCTCACCCCCTTGTCCCCAGCCCCAGACGCAGTGCTTTCACCCGCCCCCAACGGGTCGCAGCGGTTCTCCTGCGGCTCAGTAACTGGTCGAAGCGTGAAGCTTCCCTTTGCTGGCGCTTTGGGTCCTTTGGGTTCCTGGCGCTTCTGCGGACAAGAGCCGCTCCATTGTGGAATTCGGTCCTTGGGCTGAGAGTGGGTCCGTGCCCCTGCCAGGGAGTTGTCGCACGGGGTGCATACGGGGGATCTTCTCTGGTTGCAGGGCACCACAGATACCCGGGGCTTTTCTCAGCTTGACTCGATCGGTCTTACCCTGCAAGAGCCCTGATCCAAAATGCTATCGCACAACATACACGTGTGCATGAAGGAAAGCAAAAATGGAGAGCAGCGATCGGTCCCTCCTGTACTGCAAACCTGGCCCGTCCTGCGGTGTCTGGTGCCCTTTGGTCTGGCAGTTTGGGGATGGCTTGGGAGCAGGGCTCCTGTCCCTTGACTGAGTGAAGGTCCAGTCCAGAAGAGCGAAGCTGTAAGCAGCCGCGTCCTCTTGCTCTGCTGCCCTGAGTCCCACCTGCTCCCCCGCCCCAGAGTACTTTTGGAGCTCTTTCTACAAGGATATTCATTGTCTCATTGAAAGAATGGGAATGACCTTTCCCAAATCCTTTAAGATTAAAAAAGAAAGAAATGCGTCCTTTCAGTCAGTCACAAGGCTGCTTTTTTTAAAGGCCGGCTGGCAGCCCACCTAAATTATCGGCGAGGGAACAGAACTGCCAGCGGAGCCAGCGTCTGATTCGGCGCCGTGCGGCATAGCAGGAGAGAGTCCGCGCAGCATCACGTTAGGGGGCTGGACTGGGCTCAGGTGGTGCAGCTTCTCCTCCCCCGGTGGGCATCACAGGATGGCTTCGGGCCACCCCCTTCCCCTCTGCCCAACCGTCCTCCACAGGGTGGCTTTTGTGAGGATAACGTGGAGCGCAGGAATGCTTAGACCATGCGTCCGTCATGAGCGGAGGAGCGTGGGGATGTGATGCCATGCCAAGGCGACGAGCATGGCCGCGTCTGACAGTCCCGCTGGCCACACTCCCCAGGACTGTCCAGAATCGCGGGCCGCTGTGGGTCAGAACCAGCAAAAGCGTTGCTGCAGTTCTTGTCTCCGCTGCGAGAGTCCTTGGGCAAGCAGATGGGCCTCAGGCGTTCGCGTGTGGCCAGGGCAGCCATCGGGGCAGGGGGGTCTCTGGGCCTCCCATGCATCCTCTCTGGCGGGGTGGGGCCACACCTATGCACACCTGGCCAGGAGAGGTGCTGGGGAGCCTGCGGGGTGGGAAAGGCAGCCCTAGCCCAGCACCTGGCCAGGTGGCCGGGGCGCCGGAGAGGCCCTCCGAAAGGGCCTCTCCAGCACGCACGTCTGCCGGGGGGGGGGGGCAGCCGCATTGGGGAGGGCAAGGGCCGAGTGCCGCAGCCGCCGCGTCCCCTGAGCGCCCCGTTCTCCCCCGCCCAGCCTACTCCCAGCCGCAGACGCACCAGCTCGTGCAGCAGCAGAAGCAGATGCAGCACCAGTTCGTGATCCAGCCGCAGCTGCAGCCCCGGCCCCTGCAGCTGCAGCCCGTCCCGGGGCCCACTCCGAGCCTCGGCACCCTCCCCGGCCTGCCGGCCCAGAGCCACCTGCCCAGCCAGGGCCACGCGGCCCACCTGCCGCCCTGCCGGGCCCCCACGCAGCACAAGCCGGGCGCCAGCCAGCCCGCCCCGCACGCCGCACACCCCGTGGGGCCCCTGGCGCTGGGCGCCCCCAGGCCCGAGGGCAGCCCGCCCGGCCGCTCCGTGGGCTGCTCCAGCCACGCTGCTCCGCGCAAGTTCCAGCACACGTCGGCCGTCATCCTGCAGCTGCAGCCCTCGGCGGGGACGGTGAGTTCGCCGGCGCTCGGGAGTGGCGCGGAGCCGCGCAAAATCTCCAAATGCTGATTGGTGGTGGTGGTGATATTGTGGTTTTGTTTCTGCATCCGCTTAGCAGAAGCTCTCCGAGTGGTTTGCACCAATGCATACAAAACACGCCAGTATTTAAATAGCTTAAATATACAGTAAAACTGGCCTGTTAACGGAAAAATAAAATCAGCTGGCCACTGGATAGCTGAATGCATCTTTAAAAGCTTTGACATAAAAGGCTGCCCTAACTTGGCGCCAAAAAGAAGACAAATTTGGTACTGGCTGTGCCTCAGCAGGGAGGTTGTTCTGGTGATGGGGGTCCACCACAGAGAAAGCCCTCCCTCCGGTTGTCACGTTTCAAGCCTCACTTAGCAGATTTAGGAATAGTTCCAAGGATTTATTTGAGCTTCACAGGAGGCAGAGACAGCCTTTTTTTTCTTATTGAACCAAATCATTTTGATTGAAATGCACGTGCCAGTGAACTTGCACCCTGTCCCACTGGCAGAAGAGTTTTGCCCCCTGCATCTTAACCTGAATTGCCATGCAGGGGAAAACGTTTTATTTCCAAAGGGGTGATACTGCAGCCTGTAGGGAGGGGGCCAATCATGCAGTACAGGAAAATGGCTATTGGGCAGCCCTATTGGAAGGCAGCAGCAAAGACGGCGTTTTGTCACCGCTTCCATCGTGCAGGCAGGCTGGAGGGTTGTGCTGGCTTTTCCAAGTGCGCCTCCTTCGCCGGGACACGCGCTGCAGCTCAAGCGACCCCTTAAATGCTGCGCCTGAAAGTGATGGGCAAGCGCCCTTCTGGACGGGCTGCGCGTTTTGGCCTTTGCAAAGATGACACGCTGGGCCACCTGCCCTCCAAGGCTCACGGGCGGCATGAGGAAATACCGTGGTGGGAGCGCAGCCGAGGAGCCTCCGGGCACAAGCGCGGGCGCTCCCTTGATGGGCCCTCCGGGTGCTTGCTTCCTCTTTTGCCCAACCGCCCGCTGGGGGACAAGGCTGAGATATGAAACCAGGCACCTCGCTCTGTTCCCAGGCCTTTCCTGCCAGCAAGCAAGGCCTTCAGAGGCATTTTCTCCTCTCAGGCAGCACAGCTGCTGAGGGAAGGGGTAGCCCCTGGGGACCCTCAGAAGCCCACAGTGGGAGCTCCGCTGCCTGCATTTGGCCCGTGGGCCCAGGGTTGAGCACCTGCTTTTTTTAGCTTCTGACGGTTCGCATCCCTTGGGATACGAAACGTCTGGGGTTCGGCCCCAGGCATCTCCTTCCGAAATCATGGTATCAGGGACTGGGACCGAGCGGGACTCGCGCGCTCCCTCGTGGAGCAAGGCCCCCCCGGCTGGGCCCTGGGAGAGCAGCTGTCTGTTGGAATCGCACCAAAGCTCTCGGTGTGAAGCCGCGGCTGGCGGTGGAGCACCTGTGTTGCGCACATGAGCTCAGGTGCCACCCTTGGCATTGCCCACCTGCCTTTCCCTCCCTCTGCAGACGTTTTCCATTGGCCACCTGCCTTTCTCATCACGTTCCCACTTGCCTTCCCCCTCCAGCCGCCCCTCGGCACCCAGGAGAACGCCAAGAAAGATTCCTTCCCCGCCGAGAAGCCCCAGGTGGAGTCCCGGGCACCGCAGCCACTCCTCCCGCCCCAGGCCGCCTCGGCAGTGACAACGCCAGCCCCTCCAGAGCCCGAGGCCTCTGAACCCGCTGAGACCTCACCCCGAGGTAAGGCACTCCCAGGCTGGGTCAGATCTGCGGCTTGGGGGAGAGAGGAGCCGGCGCCTTTCACCCCGCCCTGACCCACCAGCCCGGGGACCTGGCCCACACGGAGGTGTGTTGTCCTAGTGCCAGGCCTGGCGGAGGGCCCTCGGGAGCCGTTGCTCAGAGTGCCGAGTGTAGTGAGTACTGCTTGAAAAGGGCCATGACTGGAAAGGGGAACAGGGCCCAGATGTGGCTGGAGGGCATTTTTCTCCATACTTTGACTTACAAACAGTCTACCCCAAATCACGGTGTTGTGCTTGGATAGTCCAGCGGAGCCTCCACACCCAGAGGCAGTGTATCTGTGCCTGCCAATATTGGGTCAAAGCATCAAACAGGGCTGCCCAGTTGGGACCCCTCCAGATGTGTTGTGGAGTCGAATTCCAGCACATTGGGAAACTGACCGTTTGGGGCAGAAAACTGCGTTTGGAGGGGAGGGTTGCGAAGAGCTTCCTAATTTTCTCTCCCTCCCTCCTTTCAGTTTGAGCAGCAAGAGAGGGTTTTCCTGCCCACCTTGTGCCTTTGGCTGTGGTGCGTGCACCAGGCCGTGAGGGAGAGGGACCACTGTGCGAGAGCCGCGGGGAGCTGCCAGAGAGACACGCTCCGAGCACGAGCAACCTTTTCAAGGCGCTGTGCTCCATTTTTCCATCTTTAACGGGGCTTGGTTTGTGTGCAGCAAGGAAAAAGATGGAGGTGGTGGTAGGGCTGTTGTGCCTGCGCTCAACAACATGGGGCTGTTGTGCGTGCGCTCCCCCTGCATGTGTACGCAGGGGTGAATCGGGCCAGAAGACTGCATAAGAAGCTTTTGCGTGAAAACCTTACCTGGAAGCAATCCTTTTGCTGCCTCGCCACGGGGGGGCGGGGGGGGTGAACGAGTCCCCTTCCTGGTGGCTCATGGGGAAATGATTTGGGCCTTGTAAAGTTAAAGGTTAGGGCCGAGCTTGAAAAAAGGAAGCATTCTTGAGGAGCCTTCCATGCTAGCTGGGAATGGGTTTTCTAGGCGGTGTGTACCTGGCAGGCAGGTAAATGAAGGCAGTTAATTCTGCTCTGGGAAGCCTGTGGTGGTACAGCTCCTCTTAAATTCTGCCTGCCCAAAGTGGCAGGGGCTGTGGCTGTGGGGAGGGGTGGAGCGCCAGGGCCAACAGCCCCCCACCTGGTGATTTTCATTAAAAGTTCAGGGCATCCAGTGCGTCTGCTGAACATTTGAAGCTCTGGGTGCGCATTTTATCTTGGTGGTCCTTACGAAGACCTTGTGATTTAGGCCAGTATCCTTACCGTGTTGCCGAGGAGGAGCCGGGCACGGAGTAGAGAGAGGCCGGTGTGGCGGCATCGCACGCATGAGCTCGCCTGCAGACCGTCTCAGTTGTTGCGATGCCACCAGGAACAGTGCGATGCCCCTGGCTGAAGTGAGGTTAGAGCTGAGGGCTTGCACCTGCGGGTGACCTTCCAGCCGAGAGGCGTAGGGACTGGCTTTGCAGGGAAAGGGACAGGAAACCTGGGTATCAGGGGAGCTCGGGGCTTGGTCTTGCCCAGCTGGAAGTTTGGACTTGAGCAGCCTCAGGCAGCATGGCCAGTGGCTGGGAATGCTGGGAGCAGAAGTCCAAACCATCTCGAGGGGCACCAGGTTGAGGAAGCTGCTGCAGCTTCTGGTGTTATGCTCTGATGTTGAACGTTGATTCAGTCACTGAGGGCTACTCGGCTTTGCTTTCCCTTGCTGTGGCACAGTGCCTTGTCCAGTCCTGTTATCCAGTGCTTCTTGCCCATGAGTTATTTGTTGGACAGTGCATTGGGGTTAAATGGAAAACAGCGAAGTGTACTGATTTGCATTGGATGGTTTCATGTTGGTTTTGGATAATGCTTAGCATGCTTTGCCAGTAAAAAATAGTCTGGTTAAAGGAGGGTTGCTTCTGGCTCTAAAATGAAGCAGGAATTAAAGAGACCCTGGAAGACTTACAGCAGAGGGAACAGCCTTCTGCCTGGAGCCCAGTGCTGTGGAGCAGTGGGGAGCCAAAGCTTCCTTTTGCCAGCGCTGCTCTGCGTTCAGAGAAGGCCCCAAACCACAGCCCCAAAATAGCTACTGGGTTTGAAAGCTGCATTCCATAATTTCACCAGTGGGAAAAACAGCTTCGACGAAAAAGGCCATCTTCTCCTGCTCTGCTCAGTGGTGAGAAGCTTCATTGGTGCTCCCCGCATGACTGGGCAACATCAGGGAAAGAGACACTCCTCGCCATGCCTCTTTCCTTCCCCAGGCTCCTTTCAAAGGATTGCCCGAGAGATTTTGTGTCAGAGAGGAATGAAGAACGGAAAGAAATGTGTCCTGTGCATGTTTAGACAGAGAAGTGGGCCTGCAAAAGAAGGTCAGCGGGAGCACGGGGAAGCTAAGGCGGCCGTGGTGCTTCTAGGCTGTTGCTGTGGCAGTCCCTGCTGCTCAGATAGAGTGCTCCTGCTTGCGCATGCTTTGTCTGCTTTGGGCAAAATTTGCACCCCCTCCAAACTCCGTTTCAGCCACTGCAGTCCAGAGCTGATGTCAGTTCGTTTCTTCTCCCTGGCACCAACGCCGCTCGGGCGGAATACATTTTGTGAGTGAGGAGCCGTCACGGCGATGCCATTCTGCCTATCCGAGCAAGCTGGTGCAGGCTCTTTCCCTCCCTAGGATGTGAAAATACGGCACGTCAGCCTTATCCAGGCTGGTGCTGCTGGGATGTGCTGGAGTACAAACCTCATACTCCTCTAGCTGCCACAACATTAATGCCTAGCAGTACGTTTGCGATATTTCCCCAAGCACCTGTTCTGTGATGTTGCCCAGGTAAAAGCCAGGCCCTTTGACTGATCCAAGCTGAGACTGTGGCTGGAGTGTTGAACGGGGATTCGTGAGACCTGCAGGCTACTTTCTGCTGGGCCATGGGGCTCATGGGGGGATTGGGGCCGGGCCCTGAAGCCCACCTGGCGACTGGCCCAGTCCTGACTCTCAGCTTAACCTACCTCACAGGGTTGCTTTGAAGATAACAGGGAAATGCCATGTAAGTTGCCTTGAGCTCCTTGCAAGAGGTGGAATGTGAAAATATTACTGCTCATCATCCAAGTTCCTCTGCAGCATTGCTCTGGTAGCCAGAACTGCAGGAAGCCCTGCTTGGCAAGGAGGCAGCTGCGGCCAGTGGAAAGCAGAAGCGCTCATTCCTCTGGGTGCACAAGCTGCACCTCCTGACCTGCACCGGAGCAGAGAGGCAGCAATGCCAGCTGGCCCTGGGAAAAGGCACTGGAGCGGCCAGAGCCCGGCCTCCCCTGCTCGCTCGCTTGGCCTCCAGGTGCTCGGAAAGCCAGCAGTGAGGTCCCTTCCGGGTAGCGAGGGGGACGGCTGCGGCGTCCTGTCCCCCCCCACCCCCCCATGAGGTGCCCTTCAGGCTCCTGTGGAGAAGACGGGGGTCCAGCACGGGGGCAGAAGCCCCTTGGAAGGCCCACCCCAAAAAGTAGGAGCTGCCTCTGGGCAGGGTTTCCAGGCCTGGGCAGCGTTTGGGGCGGCAAGTGCTTCGGTTCACGGGCTCCCTGCTTAATGCTTGGGAAAGGGCCAGGCGGGGGGGATGTGCCTTGTTCCGGCCACCCTGCTGCAGCAGCTCTCCTTCCGCATCGGGGGCTCTCCGGAGGAGCCGGACCGCCATGCCCTGGTGGCCGGGGATGATGGGCATGGCAGTCCGGCTCCTCCGGAGGGCCCCCAAATGGGGCAAGGCTGAGACAAGAGCCACTGCGCCTGTAGAGCCACTGTGGCCGAGCGCCAAATCTCCCTGACAAAGCGGGGGGCCGCCTCTTGTCCCCCGCCCTGCGGTCCTCACAGCCAGGTTGCCCTGCTCAAGTGGGCCCATCGCTCGCACGCCCCTGGCTTCGGGCGGGGGGCACGCTCCCCTTTCCTTCCTCCCCCCTCCCTGTGCTGTGTGCTCCTCTGCCACCAGGGTGCTCGGCTTTCACCCCCCACTCCATGGGGCTGGCCTGGGAGCTCCCAGCCGGCCGGCTTTTTGTTCCCTGCCTGGCGGTTGGGGCTGGGGAGGTGCAGCCGCAGGCAGGGACAGACAAAGGGCTGGCCGCCCCCCTCTGCTGAGCTGCCACTGGATCTCTGACCCGGCTCAAATTCCCTTCAATCAAGTTAAATGGGGCAGACCTCGCCCCCCCACTGCTGCTGGCAAGGGGGGTGGGGGCTCCCTAATCCCCTGCCAGGCAGCTTTCCTGAGCACTCTTTGCCCCTTTGTAATGGGTGTCAGGCCCCCCGCGGGGGAAGGCCACACAGTCACACACCTGCTTCCGCCCCCTCCGCAGCCCCTGGCCCTCATGCAAACTTTCACACACCCCACGCCCCACGCCTGGCTTCTGCTTGGCTTCTGCCTCCTTTCTGAGGGCCCTGAAGCAAACGGGAGGAAGTTGCAGCTGCAAAGGGGAGCTGCATGGTTTCCCTTGGGCTGAATAAGGTATTTCGACACCTCTGCATTCCACAATTAATTCTGGGGGAGGGGTGCTCACTCCCACCTGAAGCGTGGGCCTCCCTGCAGGGGAGTGTGGTCCCTTTCATATCAGCATTATAAAACAAAATCAATAGAAACAGTTCTCCCCGGAGTGGCCAGCAGCAGGGTCCGTAATGCATCGCCTGCTTGCATCTCCGTGTTTTCCCAAGTCTGGACCTACCAAAGAATTGCTCTGTTGCTTCTTTTTTCCTCCTTTTTAAAAAGTTAGCTAAAATGGGCCATGGGATCCCCCAAAGCAAGCGTCACGGTTGTGGTCTAGCATTGTGTCCAATGGCTAAGTTACTGCAAATGGAATACCCTCATACTAATTACTACCAATATACCTAATGAAGAAGGAACTGGTGTGAGTGGGTGGGTCACGATGAAAGTTTATTTTGCATTACAGAACACCATATTCTGTTTTTAGTGCATGGCATTGGGTTGCCTTGGCAGAAAACCCATGCCTGGCCCAGTAAATGA